AGTGGTACATTATGATCCATCCAGCTTCTCTAGGGTCAGGCTGAACTTGAGGAAAGGTTTACCAGATTGTAGCTCCAAAATTAGTTTTCAGGGTAATTATTCATGGCCGAAAATTTCAATATAATCAAGACCTTTGTGTGAACCTGGCTTTTCACCTTGGCTAGTCCCTGCTATCTTTCACAAGACCTGAATTAGAGGGGAAGGGATTAAAATTCCAGCTTCAGCATCTTTCATTTTTCAAGATGAGCTGTTTTCTACTTCTAGAAGTCTGTTCTAGAAGTGGATAAGAATGAAGGGGTCTTTGGAAGTCAAGGGGCCAGGCAGATATTTACCTAACACTGACTTAATACTAAACTTCATTGCCCTTTGTGTCTTACCTATGAATGCATATACATAGAATTGCATTGTTAGACTTTAAAAAGACAGCAAGAAAAAAAGGGGTTTTTTTGGAATTATTTTTCTCTTTGCTGTGGTCCAGCAAGGAGCAGCTCTTAACAGTGCATTCATAGCAAAAACCATTGGGTTTTGTCCAATACAGCAAGGGTTCCCAACCAGGGGTGCGAGACGATATTCCGGGGGGTGCGAAAACTTGGGTTTTCAAAATTGTAGTGTATATGCATAATTCGTTGCCGTTATTTCGAACTTTTGTAAGGGGTGCGAGAATATATCAGAAGCGTTCTAGGGGTGCAGGGTACAGAAAAGGTTGGGAGCCGCTGCAATACAGTAATGTGGAAATTGAAAATGACATATTAACAGGAGAGTAAAAGTCTCTTCTGAATCAAACTCAGCTCCCAGCGAATTCATGGGTATATTCAGGTAATTTTATTGATAGTTATGTAGAAGTGAGTTGCCACTACTTTCTCTCAGATTTTTTTCTTCTTTCATTTCTCAGTCTAGCCTACAATTCTGACACTTATCGGTGGTGGTGTCTTCAAATGCTATCCAATTCCCATTCTGCTTATTTTTGGGAGACCAGTCAAGCATGACTAAAAGCTGCCTCCGAGTCAGGCAATATACTGGCATTTTAATCAATTGATTCACTTTTATGATATGATTGCATATCTCACAACACGATTGCATTACTTACTAAATTATAATAGTTCAGAAGATCCTATACCAAATTACCTAGGAGCAAAGCCTACTGAATGGAATGTTTATTCCAGAATAAAAATGTTATGCTTGTGTTATAAATATTGTTGAAACAGTAGCTAATTTCACAAACTGTATGAGTTGCTTAGTTTTGCCCTTGTCTGTTGTAGGGCATTATAACAACCACCTATTGTGATTTATGATGTTGCAAAATCCAGAAATAATGTCTTTCCAGATAGAGCATGACACCTTAAGTAAGGCTTAATCCTTGGATAAACAAGACGTAAAATGATGGCCAGCATGTGCTTATTCGTGTTAATCCTACACAGAGTCTGAGCATGTTCTACAAACATTGAACTAAACCAGGCGGGTCTAACTCACAGCCCTAAACAGCTAGAAATGTGGTCCCACAAGATCATAATTAACATCATTATGTGATTTTTATATTTATCTATACTATATAGTTCCCAAGACAATTCCTTTTCACTCAATGTGGCCCAGGCAAGCCAGAAGGTTGGACACATCTGAAATAAGCTGAAAACTTGGGAGAGTGCTTTTTCAAATATGGATGACACAATTGTTTTATTGCTTGTTTTGTTTTTTGTTTATTTTGTGAATTGCCTAGGGCAGTGGTGGCGAACCTATGGAACGCGTGCCAGAGGCGGCACTCAGAGCCCTCTCTGTGGGCCCGCTCGCCATGTCCCGAAGATGGCAACCATCCCTCTTCAACCACCCGCCCACTAATTCGCCGAGGTCCCACATGGCTGGATGCATCCCAGCACCCATGCGCTCGCTGGCCTCTGTGTGCGGGGGCGAATGGTGTCAGGTAGCAGCCACCCTGGTCCCTGCCTTGCCTTGCCCTGTGACAATGGCACCTCCGCCCTGCCTCGCCTTGCCTCGCCTCATCCCGCAGGACGAGCCTCCTGCCCACCGCCCCACCTGCCAGAGACCCCCTGGATCTCCCCCAACCCTGCGCGGCCCCCACAGGCATCCTTCCCCACGAGAACATTGAGGTGAACACGCCCACCATGGCCACACCCACCCAATCTGACATGACCGCCACAGCCATGCCCATCCAGTGGGCCATGCCCACCTGGCACCCAGCGATAAATAAGTGGGTTTTGGGTTGCAGTTTGAGCACTCAGTCTCTAAAAGGTTCGCCATCACTGGCCTAGGGTTATTGTTTATAAAATAGGCAGCCACAGTTAGACAAATACTTTGCTTTTCTTGTCATAATGGCTGGGTTCACCTATCACACCAACTCAAAACTAATTTAATCACATTATGGCTTAATGTTGGATGTGAAGTCACTCAACTATTGATTCTGAAACTGCAGTGCAGCACAAGATAGAAAACCCTTTAAACCAGGGTTTTACAAATACTATTAAACTCCAGCTCCTAGCATCCCTCATGCTGGCTGGGGCCATTGGAAGGGGGCCACAAGTCTGTCTTCAGATATTTTCTGAATAAGTATGCATAAAGTCATAAGTGCTTATTTAGCAATATTCAGAGGGACATAAAAGATGACTAATTTTTTATTTTGCCAAAAGAACACTTAGCATTTGTGGCATTTACAATATACCCATTGCATTTTAAGCATTAAATCGTACAAAAATATGGTATATAATATCCTCTCCTTATTCCCTTTCTCTTGCTTTATCAGCTGCATTTCAGGAAAAGGAAATAATATTCAAAATCATGTTTGCATTCTCCACTCCTGGAACTATAGGGCTGTTGTTTCTTACGGTTTAACAGCCTTGTTCTCTTCCAATTTTCTAAAATGTCACCAGTCCTCTAAGGGTTCTCAAATAGTACCAAGAGTTGTTTTTCAATCAACTTTATTGGTCCTCTTTTTATTTATTTATACATATCATGCCTTTATTATTTTTATTATTTTTATAAATAATTCAAGGCAGCAGATGTATCCAACATACCTTTCTCCTCTTATTTTCCTCACGACAACAACCCTGTGAGGTGCGTTGGACTGAAAGAAAGAGAATGACTGGCCCAAAACCACCCAGCTGATTTTCATGGCTAGGGTGGGATTTGAACTCGTGTTCTCCTGCTTTCTATTGTGGTACCTTAACCCACAGGCCAAACTGTTTTTTAGGATATCATTTATCTGGCTCTGGAATTACCTGTGTGGTCTCTTACCCTCTCCTTATTTATCCTAAGCTGCAGTTCATATCTGTTCTAGTGGCACAGTTATGACATTTCCTTCTGAGGTAAAACAAATGCAAAATACAAATTAGGAACTTATGCATTCCCACCAATATCCATCACTACTTCATTACTTTATCCACACAATGACTCCCATGCTCTCTTTTCTTTGCATTCTACACCCCCCCAAAAAATCTTATTATTGCTATTTTTTTTAATTTTTTGCAAGCCTCAACTCATTCTCAATTTTAGCCTTTCTGATATAGTTCCTACTGTTTCTGAACACTACCTTTTGTTCTTTGGTTAGACCACCTTCTTCTTCCATCCTTTTTTTTTTGCCAGTGCTTGTTTTTCTTGCTCATGATCAGCATTTTACATTATGAACTCCGTAAGGAGAAAAATCTATGTGGCTACTAAGTCGGCACCAACATGATGGTACATAATTAATTTTAGAGAGCTGGCATCCTTAGATTTCTTATTTTTCTTTGTAGGAATTGTTTGCAGCTCCATCCCATCCAATTTTGTAAGATTTCCAACCCTTCCTGGACATTTTTTTTTTAAGAAATTGAAGCTATCACAACCCACCTACCTTTTCTTGGAGTTCACCAACATTTGCTCCTTTCATATCTAGTATGCTACTCTAATTCTTTTCTTCTCCTTGGTTGCTATAGATTCAAAAATAACTCAATCATTTCCCTCCACATTCTAGGCAACAGTCACTTCTTCAATCAGTTCTCTCTGTCAGTGAATATTAGGTCCAGAGTAACACAGCCTCTTGTTGTTTTTGCACCTTCTGATAAATGAAGATCTAGTTTGTTTTGGGAAAAAAAATATTGTAAAAGAAAAACCACAACCTCGGCACCTTTTACTACAGTATGGTCCTGCCCAGCAAGCTGTACCTGACAATGAATTAATTTATGAATTAGGAAGAAAGGGGCATCCTCTCTTCATGAGCCAGAGCCAAAACTCACCCCACCAGTTTCCTGTAATTTATGGTTAGAAACAAGCTTCTGCCCAAAGGCCAACTAGTAGTTGCACCAGTGACAAAATATGCAAAAACTTATTCTGTGGCCTGTTTTAAGGAGTGGTGCTCAGCACATAACCAATAAGGCTTGATTTTTCAGAAATGCATTTGCACAAAGAGAAGGGCCCAGGACTTGCCCGAAGTACGCTTCTGTGGAGAGGGACCGGTTACTTTTTTTTTCAATGTGATTTAGATCCCCCACCAAAAAGAAATGTCATCATACTTTTTATTTGCTTCTGTTTTCGTATGCTAGGAATTCGGGGATGGGGGCCAAACAGTCCTCTAAAACAGGAAAATGGATTGAAATCTGAATTCATCGAAGTTTAGACACCAAGGATGACATAGAGATTTTTCCAAGTTATACACAATTATCCTTCTAATCTAGGAGGAGGAGCCAGAAGGAAGGTGAGAAAAGCAGTATTCCCGAGCATAGACGGGTGTCCCCCCCCCCACTTTCTCTTGCGAAAATTCAAATATGAAGTCCGGCAGTATTGTATTGTATTGAAATTAAAGAACCCAGGAGCATCCCCAGCTCTCCTTCCCCTCCCCCTCGCCTCCCTCTCCCCAACCGCCTTCCCCGTTTAGCCACGCTGGTGTTTCATTTCCTTTGCCCAGAACGGAAAGGCGCTCCTCAACTGCGAAACGGAGTCACGGGGGGGGGCGTCCCAAAACAAAACGAAAAAGGAGGCGGGGGCGACGAAGCCCTGGACCCGCCCCCACCGCTTGGCGCGCGCATAAAAGCTCTCCGCCGCCTCTCCGTCGCTGCACCTCAGGAGCACTTGCGGGGCGGGACGCGCGGCACGAGCAGACATGGGCAGGGCGCTGGCTTGGCGGCTCGTCTTCGGGCTTTTTCTCCTGGCGCTGCTTTCACCCTCTCAGGTGAGCGCCGACTGTGAGGCCCTGCCCGCCGCGGGGTCGCTTCTCTCCAGGCCTCGGCAGCGGGATCCTGGCAATAGGTGTAGGGGGAGCAGAGGACGTTTATTCTTATTACCGTTGCTCCCATCAGCTTAAGAGTTCCTACCCGGGTTTTGCTTTCCAGCCGCGCGCGAAGCATTAATAAGTTGCATTTTGGGCGGGGCGGAGGGGGATTCCGGACAGAGTTTTAAGTTTGCACATCGCGCTGAACCTTTAATATGTGACTTAATTGGTCCGGGCGTAGCTTGTGGAGTAAACGTAGCCAGCTGTGGTTTATTCAAGTAAACTGAATTTAAGCAAGACATGGTTTAATTGATGTGTGGATGAAACCTGAAACTCCATTCTCTTTCTAGCTTAGTTTTGCAGACTTGCAGGCGTAATTCCAGCCTTCTGTTGCCTCCTTTTCCCCAATTTTCGAAGAAGGGTTGAGCGTCGTCCCCCTTCTCCCCCTTCCGATCACTTTTTTTTTTTTTTACAGAAGTAAATTCCTTTAAAAAAAATTTAAAGGAAACTTGGAGGAAACTTGGCACCCCTTCCCCTTTAGTAAGATTTCCTTTTGCAATTCAGTGTATGTCTACTCAGAAATAAAAGTCCCATTGAATTTTGAATAAGGTAAGTCGTTAGGAATTAGTGCTTGAATATTTTAATCCCAACCATTGACTGGATGAAAATAGATTTGTAGAGTTTTGGGTAAAATAAAATTGTTTATTGGTTAGATTGCAATTGAACTGGAATAAAGTAGCTGAAAAGCTACGTCCTGTAGCAGTTTTTAACCCTGTTTTGCAAAAGCTGCCTAGAGTGGTTTTTTAAAAAAGTAACTGCGTTATTAACCCTCTAAAATCAACATTTGAAAGTAGGAAAATGCAAAGTTACTTGACAAATCTTCCATCTCCCTTTTCCTAAAAGGCTAGCAGCTGCTGCTTGGGTAGAGTAGGATTGCAGTGTTGCTGAACTCAATACATAATGGCTGGAGTAGCTGAGAGTTGGAATGTAACAAAACCCCTGCAGGCTGTTTGGTTTCCCCCCCCCCCATGTTAGATTTTCTTGCTGCGTTGGAAATTGAAAAGCATTTGTTGAGAGATCTCACTATTCTCTGTCAGACTTCTGTGTGGGTTCTTTGTACTGTACCTGATCGTGTGGAGATCCAAATTGGAAGGGAAAATTTAATTTGAATGTATGTGGGTATGTAAGGAATCTATGGAAGAGTAGCTGTGTCTTCTGCGACTGTCCTCTCTTTGGTTTGTGGTGCTCCAGACAGATGAAGTGTGTGTGTGTGTATGTATATGTATGTATGTATATACATATACAATCCTATTTTGCTTTTAAATTCAGACATCTGCATAGCCTCTTTTTTCCCCCCTTACCAGTAGATGTAAATGAAGATTCAATCATCCAGGCCAAAAGTATTCAAAAAAGTTAAATCTGGCAACTGGACCAAAGTTTATTAAAACTGAGACATTTCTAGACCATGGAGAGGTTTCATTACTCATCCAAATAACTTCTTCAGTCAAAATGAAAATTTTGGGTAGTCAGAGTCACCAGAATGTACTGACTCTTGCCATACAAACTGCAGGGTTTTCTCTCCAAAATGAAATGCAAAATGCAAATGAAGACTCAATCCATCCAGGCAAAAGTACAGTATTTTAAAAGACTCCTAGCTCTCTGCCTATCCAAAATTTTCATTTTAACTGAAGTTACTTGGATGAGTAACTTTGGTCCAGTTACCATGATTTAACCTTTGTAGATACTTCCTGTTGGATACTGCTATAGAAACAAAGATTTTAATCTCTTGTGAATTTTAATATAGCACCATAGTATAGTCTGATAATTTAAGAATCTTCTATTTTTATTAAATAAGCTTTCAAGTATTAACTTTCTAGAAATATAGGTTTTATCATGCCTTTCATTATTATGTAAGTCTTTGGAGAAATTTTGGAACCCGTCTGACTTGGCATTAAAAAAAAAATCACAAGTTAGTACTTCCATTTCCCATTGGAATTTCTGGAGGAGATGTAACACTTTGGCTCAATGTTAGGACAATAGAAGCTTAGCAGGTTAATATTTTATGCGGCCAATTTCAAAAGGTGATGACTTGCACTTTAGTCTTGCCACCTTATATCAGGCTTAGCAGACAAAGTTGAAAGCATGAGAAAGTGCTTTTTAAAGGAATAGCAAAGAATAAAACTGGAGTGAATATTTAGCAGAAATGAATACTTAAAAGGGGCTTTGGGGAAACATCTGAGAAGGGATTGGAGTGGCTTTAAAATGTGATTATAAATCTGTGGGGTTTACATTTTTAGTTCTTGTTAGATAACCTGCAGGGTTTTTTTGTAGCAGTGAATTTGTTATTGTAAGGGTCTAATAGAAAAAGCAGCATCAAGCTTAACAAAAGAGGATTTCCTAATATTAACTTGGTAGTATGTAACAAAATGATTTCTTTGAACATAATGCTTTCTGTGTGCTGTATATCTTCCCAGCTTCCTGACTTCAACTTCACAGCTAACATTTGTTAACTGTACATGGTGTTGTTGCTCTATACGTGTGAAATGCAACATAAGATCTTACACTAATAAACAACCAGAATATATAGTAGTAGACTAGAGAGTTAGGTGGCAATACTGCAAGTGCATTTCACAAGTTGATATTCCCTTTATTAAGGGAAAAAATCCTTGTGTGTAGGATTTCTGAAACTAAAAATTTAATGTGGATAATATATGAGGAGATATGAATGCTACCTCTTAAACTTGACTGGACTCTCAATGCTTACTGAGTATAAATTTTGCTCAAAATAGACATATCTCCACTTGAAATGGATGGGGTGAAACTGACTTGATACATTAACATACTTGATTTGGGGAATATTATGGTGGGTTTGCAATCACTGTATGACAATCTTACATGTATTACTGTTAATTGAAGTAGATACTCAAAGCCTAACCTGCTTTCCAACACTTTCTCAGCTGCCAGATGTACCAGATATTGTTCATACGTTACATGAAGTCTGATATCATTAGCATGACATAACTTGGTCTATCCATCTGTAGACTGGGACAATCTTCACTCCTAGTGAATGCTAGGACAGGTCCATACAATTTTCATGGCAGTCTTTGTCCTTGTCTTCTTATGATTGAGAAAGACTGATCCAAGTCATCCAGCTGCTTCATGCCTAAGGCTGGACTGGAACTATAGTGAGTAAGGAAGCCGTCTTTGATTGAAATATGCAAGCATATTGGCAAGGTGTAAAGTCCAGTATATCCAGATAATATTCAGAAGTGATTGATCTGCATGGAAAAGGTACCACAGTTGGACTTGCAAGTTTCTCTTATTTAGCCAATCTCAATAGAAATAGTTTGTGTGAAGGTGAAGGTGATTTCCTAGCCTCAACTACCTAGTGGGGATGACTGGAATTCATATTCTTCTGGTTTCAAATCACCATATCAAACTGGCATGGTGGTTAAAGGTCTTTGGTAATACAAAAGACGTGTATCAAAAATAGATTAGAATGGTGTTTTTGTGACCTGATTCACAAGTTTCACAAACCCTTGATCCATGGCTTATTGAATAAACCACAGTTGACTAGGTTCAGGCTACAAATTAAGCCATAAATTGTAATAGTTGGGATCACAAAGCAAGTTGGGCCATAATCCAGCTTGGTTTAAAGGGATGTTTTAGCTCAGTCAACACACTCCTGCTTTTCTAATTCTATGCAACTTTTTAAAAATTCTTAAAATAAACATTAGTGCTAAGTGGCTGGAGACAGACAATGTGTGCGCTCAAATCTAATAGCACATCTGAAAATGTGATATGTGCTTATCCCATTCATGGCATTACTTGAGCCAGTTTTTATGTTGTAGTCAGGTTTCTAAAAGTCTTGTTGACTGCATAGTAACCAAAACAAAAGAAATAATACCTGTGCTGTGAAATAGTAATTTTAAGGCCATTTTAAGTAATTTAAATTCCTAAAACATATTATTTCATCCCCTGCCTGCCATGGCATGCAAGAACAAAACTATACATTGATTTCTTGTGCAATTTTATTTCTGGTTTTATAACTATTACCCTGTTTCAGACTTTTCACCTTAAAAATCTTCCACTTTTCTAAAGTGTCAATAATCTCCAGCATTATTAATGTGCTTGTTTAATCAGAAATGTTAAATAAGCTGGAAATAAGGTATTTCATATCAGGTAAGTCAAAACCAAACAAGCATGTTATGATGTAGTGCAATGTCTGAATCTAGTGGTAGATTTCTTCATGTGCTCAACTGGAGTAAGAATGACAAACTATCAGTTATTCTGTCTAAAATTACCTCTAATAGCATTTTGATTTTCTGCTAACTTTTGATACGGTCTCGGTTAAATCTGACAAAGTCAAAAGAGAAAGAATATGTTTCAGGGAAATTATGATTTGATAGATGATGAAGTATGGTGTGTGTGTGATAGGTATGTTATGTCAGAGTATTATTTCCAAGTTGTCAGTGTCATTGGTATGGGATGTACAAAAAGCTGGGCTATGAGTTCTCGTTCTCGCTGTCATGGAGTTCTTTCCTTATTGATTATCTGCCTCATCACTGACATATCGCAAGAAAAAGATTTTATATTGTTTGCTTTGCATTTTACATCGAGTTAACATATATTTTTACTGCAATCCTATACTTGTTTATCTTGGAATAAGCTCCAGTGAACTTGATGGGGCTTTTTTCAGAATAGGGAATTATGTTCTTTAAAGTGTACTTTTTAGGAAGGGCAGTGATGCTTATTCTATGTATGTTTCATAGTAAAATAAAATAAAAAAAACCACTACCTTCACAATCACTCTATATAGACTAATGTAATAACATAGACCAGGGGTAGGCAACCTTGGCTCTTTTATGACCCGTGGACTTCAACTCCCAGAATTCCTGAGTCAGCATATCCCTGACATAGACCAATACAGTATAAGCCCTGGAAGGCAGAATGCAAAATGTGCTGATTGATTTTACAGTCTGATTTTACAGTCTTTTTTTCTTTGTCTTTTGCATATTTAGGGAGGAGAAAATAAAACAGCTACTGACCCTCCGCATAATCACTCATCTGTGACTCCTATGTCACTTAACATAAACACCACCACCAAGGGACATGGAAATTGTCTTCAGTCAACCACCGGCCTCTTCATTCTCTCAGTCTCTCTCCTGTACTTTTGTTAAAGCATCTGGTCTTGGGAAAACAACATCCTTCCCTACCGAGTTCCCTGATTCATCTAAGATGGTGAGATCTTCATATTCTGAGAATTAAAAAAAAAAAAAAAACCAGCACAAAATACTTGTATCCAGCCAGTGCAGTTAAGCAACAATCCAGTCATTGATACCAATTTGATCAAAAGTCTTGGTAAGAATACCTGGTGAATTGAATCAATCTTCCTTCAAAAGTAACCTGATTCGCAAGGCAGCCTATGGATTCCAACATTCAACACCTCGAACTTGTATTACAAGAGAAATACAACTTGACAAGCCATGGATCATGCCTTCTAAGGGGAAAGAGTTGATACGATCAAGCTATGCAAAATAAGGAGCTTAATTTGAAAATGATGCTCATCCTCTTTAAGTTTATAAAACCAATAAAAAAAATAACGCTGAAACTGGGTTTTTTCCCCCTCAATTTAAGATACAAGGATATCTAGCGGAAGTCATTCTAATCAGAATTTTACTATGGAATTTCCCAGTTAATCCACTGATTAAAAAAAATTGTTATAGTCCAAAATGGAAGTTTGCATAATTTAAAACCAATTGGAAACATTTGCTGTATTTTTTTTTTTCAATTTTATTAAAGCTGTAAGTGAACCAAATGCACCAGCAGAATAAGATATATAAAATCTATTGTAAGATTATTTGCTAATAGCCAATATAAAATAAGTAATAAGGAAATAATGAATCAACTTACATAATTAAACTTGAATAGTTTTTCTCATAGCAGCCTCCTAAAAGTTTCTGGAGGTCATTTCTAAATGTCAGTGTTGGTGCAATTAGTGTTTAATTTATTCTTTCAATGAAACTTCTTTGGGCAAATAATTTTCCTTTATGTTGAGTGAAAACACACAATGTTTAAATCCTGAAATATTAATCCTTAAAGTGTGTATCTTTTAAAGGTTGAAACTGACATATTTGCACAAATTATTTCTATTCCAAGTGTTCTGTACAGTAAGTAATTTGAACTAAAGCTGGTACTAAAATGTTATCCAAGTGTTTGGCTCTTCAGAAATAAAAAATGGAAAGTCTTGTGGGTAGAACCACATCCATAGACAGTCTTGTTCACTTACGATGTGTGATCATAGCTTTAAATGCACACTTGTTTCTTTGATTTAGTCGGTTACTCAGAATCTGTATACATCCATTGCATTGTCAAATACTTATATAATAAATCTTGGGATGGGGGGGAGGGATTTATGCATTCCTTTTGTATTGAGTAAACTGTTTGACTTCATGATTATGTAACTATGCTATAATTTTAAATCAAACTAAATAAAACAATGGATCTACTTCTAGTACATTCTGGTTTTTTGATAATCAGATCTTCGGTATTCTGCTAACAGGACAGAACCTTCTCTAATTGAGTAACTGGATTCAAAAGAAACATTAAGTTCTATTCCTAATAATCTTGTGAGTGATGGTCACATCACAGTATTTGTTTGCTTGGTTTATGATATTTCAATGGCTATGGATTGAATCTGGGGGCATCTCTGAGGCTGGGGACCAGAAGAAGTATTTTGGGGGTGTGCAAAAGGGTGTCTGCATGTCCTAGGAAAAGATGCTTCTGCTTTAAGGGTTTCTTATGTTTCATGAAACCTAATTTGATTTAGGGAAGCATTAATTGGTATTTGTTAATCAAATCTCCTAATTACATGTCCAGCTTCTGCTCAAGTCAGTGCAGGATAACTGAATTGTTTAACTGTACTTGAAAGAGACTGGAATAAACTGCGGAGACATAGAGTGGAAAACTTTTATCTGCTTTCTGTGGTTGCTCTGGCTTCTAACCATATTAAAACTGAATGAGTTCTGCATCCTGCTAATTGACTTGGAAAAAGATAGCTTGGTAACCTGGAAAGGTTTTTTTTAGTGAAATTTAATCACAGGACAATGAAACCTTTGAGAAAACAGCAAACGTGCCAGTGAGAACAAGGTGTATTTATCAGGTCATAGGGGAAATGGCAGACCCTTCCTGTTAATAATTTCCCCAATTAAATAATTCTCCCCCAAGTGGGAGAAACATGATGGCTGGATGCTAAATAAGATGATAATGCTAAGTAATCTGGGCTGTTAAGCCCATTTTAGGGCTTAAAAAACAAGCTTCTATGTGGCACAAAACTATGCCATTAGTTGTGGTCTGGGTTGGCAACAAGGCAGAGGGACGCATGTGGTTCTACTCCTGATTTAAACCCAGCTAAACTATACATTCAGTGTTGGAGCAGTCAAAATTATCTAACAAGATCAATCTGGATAATTGATTCTGGAAAGCCTTGAAGCAGTTGAGCTTGTTTAATGCTATGGCCCTGCTTTAGTTTTTCAATATATTTTACTGACCTTTAAAGTCACTGGGAATACAGTTAGAAACCTTAAGCAAAGTATTCACTTTGGCATATATCTTGTATTTTTTAAACTTTTTTTCTCTTAGAACCTCTTCCCACTTTTTTAAAAAAAATATGAAGGGCTCCAAAATAGCTTTTGTTTGTATAAATTATATTTATTTGTATTTAGTGTATTAAAAATTAATATATTTGCTGCTGCTACCATTTCATAATTGTTTGATGAGATTTTAATGAATTATTTTTCAACCTAGTCTAGCAACTAATTTTGTTTTAGGATCACATTTTAAGAAACACTGTCCTAGACCAAGGGTGTCAAACTGGCAGCCTGCAGGTCAGATATGTCACATGCAGGCCACGCCCACCCCGGCTCTGCAAAGGCAAAAAACGTTGCGATACATCACGTGATGCGATCGAGTTTGGCACCCGTGTCCTAGACAAAAGTATTAAAAGACCAGATGGACCTTGTTTATTTACTTTGCTCTTTAGATACTGTTAGAAATGATATTGAAGAAACAGTTGCACTCACACCTGTGATTTTCACTGTATCTAGCATTCTATATGTATCTATATATGCATATATTAAACTCATTTCTGCTAGAGTCTGTTCTTCCTTTTAGACATCTGAAGGTTCAGATTTCCCAGTGGCAAACAACATTCAATGATTACATTGTATCACAAACAAGAATCTGCATTCTAACACAGTCTCTTTTTTTTAATAGTAAAAAGCAACTTTGAAATACTATAGATATCATTTGCTTGTGCAGGAAATTTTTATACCAGCTCTGCATTTAAAAGGCATTATGTAGTATTGACTGCTAGGGTTTCTCTGAAGTCTACCATTTTATATACAGTGTAATGCCAGACACATTTACTCAATATGAAACCTTATTTCGTTCAAAGGGACTTATTCTCATGCAACGGGGAATAGCAGTCACATTCCAAGTCTTACTCTTTGCTGAAGTCCTGAAAAGCAACTTGATCTCTCCTTCAGTTAGCAGCCTCTGATCAGTCAAATGAAACTCTCAATTTCCTGGTCATTAATACGTTTAATTGCATGTTCTTAATGTCCCAGAGCTGCTTAGGAGACATTATTGATTCAATTCTGTTCTGCCAATTTTCTAAATGTTTTCTTTCGTCAGATACGAACTTTTGTGTCCTTCAGCCACCGATAATCACACTGCTGTCACATTCAAGATCCACACAAATGAATATCTTCTTTTTCTGGTTCTCTCAACGTCTTATTTCTTCCATGGCTGGCAAGTTTCAGCTTTAGATATGAACTGATACAATTTTAAAAACTGGATAATGCTTTACAGTGATAAGGACCTGCAAATAGTGTTGGTTTTAAATTGAGCGTGCCCAATATCAGCACATGCTTTCATGATCTAGTGCAGGAATAAGCAACTCCTTTGGACCATGGACACATGTGGAGCATTGATTCAATCCTTGTGTCAAATTTGCTACGCCTAAAACTCTGGCATCTACACACACAGGCACATTCAGAACTATTTTTTTTTTATTAAATTGGATAGGAGAAAGAACTACAAGTGTCAATTTCCATATAGTGTAATAGTGTAATCCAAATTATCAAGCAAATGTCACAATGTTTAATATAATACTGGGGAAACAGGACTATGCCATTCCTTTGAAAAGAATGTTTCAAATCACCCAGGAACACTTCCTTTTATAAATCATTAAAGCAGCCATGTATTTTTCCAGATGGTGTAGTTGCTTTGGCTGTCTCTCTGGCTGCAGAAGCCTGGAACAAAAATGTTACTGCTCTGATAACTGAAGAAAAAGAGAACGCCTGGGTGTCGTCAAGAATTTGAGTACCTCCAATGTATAACAAATAAATGAATGACTACTAGGCCATTACATTAAATTGTTGACCCCTTCCTTACTTCTCTGTCGGGGGAGTATTGTGCAACCATCCTCTGACATAAGGCTCTTTTTCATGATTACATTAACGAGTAGTTCTTCCATCTTTGAATCAGCAGAAAAACTAGCTGGCATAAATTGCAGCGCCCTTGTGGTTAGGCCCTACTTTGCCTAAGTAACAAGGGCAGGGAGGGATGCTATCCTTACCATTTAAGGGGAACTATAATTAAACATGAGTGTAGCGTGCTTCAGAAAAAGTGCTAAACCTATGCTTAACGTAACCCCCCAAATACCTGACAGACATTGCACAGACTCTAGAACAGTGTTTCTGAAACATGGCAACTTTAAGATGCATAGACTTCTAAAATTCCCCATTAACGATGAAACAGGATGTTTTCTCCTTCCATGTAATGTTCCTGCTGGTGCCAGCTGCTTATCAGCTGCTAGCCAGCTGCAGGAATTCAGTTCTCTCCTTATCAGGTCAATAAGCTCATGATAAACCTCCATGCAAACAGAGACTTTGCAACAAGAATTGCTATGCTCTGCCTCAGGTTTAGCTACCAGCACTGGCTCTAGTGGTAAGAATAGAATAGAATAGAATAGAATAGAATAGAATAGAATAGAATAGAATAGAATAGAATAGAATAGAATAGAATAGAATAGAATAGATCCTTGAAGGTCTTCTAGTCCAGCCCCCTGCTCAAGCAGGAGAACCTATACCATCTCAGACAAGTGACTGTCTAGTCTCTTCTTAAAAATCTCCAGTGATGGAGTGCCCACGATTTCTGGAGACAAGCAGTTCCACTGGTTAATTGTCCTCACTCTCAGGAAGATTTTCCTTAATTCCAGGCTGCTTCTCTCTTTGATCAGTTTCCAACCATTTTGCAGTGGTTTTTTTGGTATGTTGGGCTCTAGTTTCTTTTTGTGTGAAGACTGATGCAAAGAATGAGTTAAGCAGTTCTGCTTTCTCCCTGTTGTCTGTTATTTCCTTGCCATCCTCTCTCTTTAGTGGACCTACAGTTTCCTTAACGTTTTCCTTGTTGTTAATATGTTGGAAGAAACTTTTTTTTATTATCCTTGATTTCTGTTACAAGTCTTTGTTCATTCTCAGTCTTTGCTCTCCTGACTTCATTTTTGCATGTTCTGGCTGTCTGCTGTCCAAGAGACCAAAAGGGAAAGGGGGTGCCTGCTGCAGCCTAAAATGCCAATGAGACAAAAACAGCTTACAGCCTTTGTCTCAATTAACGAAACATTGCAAATATCACCGGTATAGCAAGGCGCGTGTCATGAGACCATCACTTTAACTGGAAAAGCCAATGACAAGCAAACTGATTCCATGGTAAGCTGAGGAAAAACTGAGGTCATGGGGA